GGGCCCAGGGTCAGTAGGGGGCCCCATGAGATGCCCCTGGTATCTTTTTCATAGGCTTTTTTGAGTTTGGGCAAGGACACAGGGGCCCGATAATCCCCTATTGCCATGAGTTGTCAGTCCACCCCTGCTTCAAGCCTATGTGTTGAGTGGTTGTGGTAACACATGATTTACCGCATGTTATTCCAATGCAGCAGACCCATGCTGCACCACAATGCCAAGATCTAACTGAATGGGCTTCCAACCAGGGGCGGACTGACCATTTGGAAACTCGGGCACTGCCAGAGGGCCCGGGGTCAGTAGGGGGCCCCATGAGATGCCCCTGGTACCTTTTTCATAGGCTTTTTTGAGTTTGGGCAAGGACACAGGGGCCCCATGATCCCCTATTGCCCGGGGGCCCCATGAGTTGTCAGTCCGCCCCTGCTTCCAACGCAAAGCTCAATAATGCACAAAATACCGCACATCAATATGCAGTAACTCACCAAAACCAACCAGTCTGAAAGGGGCCTTCATGTTAAAAAAATCTACTAGTTTATGCTTAATGCTGGATAGAAAGACATCTTCAGACACTCAGACTATCCTCCATGACGTATTGTCCTCTGCTGTCCGATGTCAGCTTAGTCTAAAATTCTAAGGAAACAGCACTTTAAAACCCTCCATTAAACTATTATTGCCTTTCACGTAATGAAGAAACCGCTCTCTTTTCCTCGCCTTCAGGGTATGAGATATTAAAACTTGATCTCTTCCAAAGCCTCGAGGATTGCCCTGATCTAGGTAGACATCGGACCAGTATGAATTCCTTTATTTCCTATGACCTGAAATCTTCCTTAAAGTTTTCGTCAAGGAAAATGTAAACCCCAACAAAGAACTGCTCTTATTTGTTCCCTTTGGTCTCCTAAATATATTGCTTATAGTCTTTTTGCTCCATCACTTGGATAAGTTCAAAAAGTACCTGTTGATCCTGTTAAAAAAAAAATCTTGTGGGCTGATAACTTCCTGCACTCTCCTCCTGCGCTGCTCTCTTTTCAGTTACATTGTTCCTAGCTATCTCTATGGACTACAGAACATCTCACCCTTATGTTATGGACCTGAGAACAGGGGGAGGTGTCCTGTAAGCCTAAAAAAAAGCCCTTCCTGCTCTGGGTGACAATACTGCTCCTCCATAGATATAGTACATTGAGTGATCGTTGTCACCCTAGGACAGGAAGTGTGTTACAGCACAATCGCCAGGTTGAAAAAAGAATTAAACATGGTAACAAGCTATATTAAAAAGGATGAAAAAAAAAAAGAAACCTAATGCAGCCATCACATATAAGAACTGGTAAGCTGTGATCAGGGGCGGACTGACAACTCATGGGGCCCCCGGGCAATAGGAAATAATGGGGCCCCTATGTCCTCGCCCACACTCAAACCACACCCAAAAAGCCTATGAAAGGTACCAGGAGCATCTCATGGGGCCCCCTACTGACCCCAGGCCCTCGGGCAGTGTCCGAGTGCCCGAATGGTCAGTCCACCCCTGGCTGTGATATATTACATTTAGGTTCTTCAGTTTAGAGCCCATTTACCCAACATTGGGGTTGATTTACTAAAGGCAAATGGACTGTGCGCCATACAAGGTGTAGTTGCACCTTGTATTCCTATGTATACAGCCATGTGAAGGGTCATCTTCGCCTGCACAGGATGTAAAAGTGTTCCATGCATTTGGGGCCACGCACTCGAACCTGCACAGCTGTCAAATTGGGACCAGCAGCTATGTATGTGCAGCCGTTACTGCCTGCACACTCATGCACAGAACACCTGTACATCCCATGTAGGCAAATATGGCTTGTGCATGGGTGTGTGCACTGATCTACCCATGTGAATGAGGCCTAGAGATTTTCACATCAGTGCTTTGCTCTAGATCAGGGGTCTCCAAACTTTCTAAACAAATGGTCAGTTTACTGTCCCTCAAACTTTCGGGGGGCCAGACTGTGAGCAGTGGGAGAAGAAAATATCCTGGCGTCAGTGGGAGTAAACAATGCCCCATCATTGGTATTAGGGGGAGGAATAGTTCCCCATCATTGGTATCAATTGGAGAAATAGTGCCCCATTGTTAGTATCAATAGAAGGAATAGTATCCCATCGTTGGTATCAATGGGAGAAATAGTGCCCCATTGTTTAGTATCAGTGGGAGGAATAGTGCCGCATCATTGGTATTAATAGAAGGAATAGTGTCCCATCATTGGTGTCAGTGGGAGAATAGTGTCCCATCATTGGTATCAATGGGAAGAAATAGTAGTGTCCCATCATTGGTATCAATTGGAGAATAGTGCCCATCATTGTTAGTATCAATAGAAGGAATAGTGTCCCATCATTGGTATCAATTGGAGAAATAGTGCCCCATTGTTAGTATCAATAGGAGGAATAGTGTCCATCATTGGTATCAATTGGAGAAATAGTGTCCCATTGTTAGTATCAGTGGAGAAATAGTGTTCCATCATTGATATAAATTGGAGAAATAGTGTCCCATTGAGTATCATGGGAGAAATAGTGCCCCATCATTGGTAACAATGGGAGAAATATTGCCCCATCATTGGTAACAATGGGAGAAATATTGCCCCATCATTGGTATCAATGGGAGGAATAGTGCCCCATCATTGGTATCAATGGGAGAAATAGTGCCCCATCATTGGTATCAATGGGAGAAATAGTGCCCCATCATTGGTATCAATGGGAGAAATAGTGCCCCATCATTGGTATCAATGGGAGGAATAGTGCCCCATCATTGGTATCAATGGGAGGAATAGTGCCCCATCATTGGTAACAATGGGAGGAATAGTGCCCCATCATTGGTATCAAAGAAAGGAATAGTGCCCCATTGTTAGTTTAAATAGGAGAAATAATGCCCAATCAGTGGTGTGAATAGGAGGAATAGTGCCCCATTGTCGATGTCAGTGGGAGAAACTATGCCCCACTGTTGCTTGCAGTGGGAGGAAGAATGCCTCAAGGGCTGGATAAAAACAAGCAAAGGGCCGCATCTGGCCCCCGGGCTGCAGTTTGGAGACAACTGCTCCAGAGCAAGTGTCTTCAAATTTTCTAAGCAAAAGGGACAGTTTACTTTCAGACTTTAGGGGGCTGGACTGTAGCCAGTGGGAGTAGAAAATGCCCCGTCATCAGTGCCCCATCATTGGTTTCAATGGGAAGAATAGTGCCCCATCATTGGTTTCAATGGGAAGAATAGTGCCCCATTGACGTCAGTAGCAGGAATGGTGATCCATCATTGGGAACAGTTGGTGGAGTAGTGCCCCAAGGGCCAGGCAAAGGCAAAGGCAAGCAAAGGGCCACATCTGGTCCCCGGGCTGCAGTTTGGAGGCCACTGCTCTAGAGGGCAGTGCATTGTTATTTTTGAAAATCTTGCTTGCCGCATCTTTTGTAATTTTTTGTAAAAACACGTGTTGCATTATATTAGGCAGCACAGTGGCTAAATGGTTAGCACTTCTGCCTGGCAGTACTCGGGTTGTTGGTTCGAATCCCAGCCATGGCACCACCAGCCTGGAGTTTGCATGTTCTCCCTGTGCCTGCGTGGGTTTCCTCTGGGTACTCTGATTTCCTCCCACACTCCAAAGTCATGCTGGCATGTTAATTGTCTCCTGTCTAAATTGTCCCTAGTATGTGTATGTATGAATGTGAGTTAGGGACCTTAGATTGTACGCCCCTTGAGGGTTAGGGACTGATGTGAATGTACAATATATATATGTAAAGTGCTGCGTAAATTGACGGTGCTATATAAATACCTGAAATAAATAAATAGTCAGTTGCAAAGCACACTGAAAACTCACTAAAAGTACAATATGGGGTTTAATTAGTGGGTTTTTCTAACTATATGTCTGACAAACACAGGCACAGCTCACAAAATTGAGACAGGAAATTCTGAAAATGAAAAAAAAAAAACCTCATGCAAAATGAACTTGAATGCATCTTGTGTTGCATTACATTTTACTGCAACACATTAAAACACGCCACACAAAACATAGCATTGTGCATTTTGCAGAAACGCGGTACAGTCCATTTAACATGATTTCCTATGGGACACGTTTACATCTGCGTATTTTCACCCGGTGCATTTTTTTGGAAAGGGTCAGGGACTTTTTTGAACACAAAAAGTAGCATTTTTGGTTCTATAGACTTCAATCGGAACGCTGCAGAAAAGCATGTAGTGCATTTTTGCTGCCTTTTTTTTGCGTTTTTGCATTTTAAGAAAAATAAATACAAAATGTGTCAAAAACGTGCCAAAAACACAGGTGCAAAAATGCAAAACGCAATGCAGAAATGGCTCAAACGCAACCCGCATAGGTGTGAACCTAGCCGAACTCTATCAAAAAATTAAAAAGAAAAAGCTGGTCTTTTGTTACGCTTTAAATGCTCATATAAAAACTTATGAGAATATTCTCATTGAAATGAATGGTCTGGCGATGGGGTCTCTTTCATTCGAATTCCAACTTTGGATCCACATTGATATTTATTTATTTCAGGTACTTGTATAGCGCCATCAATTTACACAGCACTTTACATATATATTGTACATTCACATCAGTCCCTAACCCTCAAGGGGCGTACAATCTAAGGTCCCTAACTTACATTCATACATACACATACTAGGGACAATTTAGACATGATCCAATTAACCTACTAGCATGTCTTTGGAGTGTGGGAGGAAACCGGAGTACCCAGAGGAAACCCACACAGGCACAACATGCAAACTCCAGGCAGGTGGTGCTGTGGTTGGGATTCAAACCAACGACCCGAGTACTGCAAGGCAGAAGTGCTAACCACTTAGCCACTGTGCTGCCCGTAAATCATTGTAAGCCTATTTGTTCATCTTTTTTGTTCATTTTTATATATAAATACAGATCGCAGGCAAAGGGGTCTGATTTTTGCTTTTGCCTCCTATAGGGGGCACCAGAGGTAACATGCCCCTCTCTCCCTGGGTCCCTCTCATTCCCATGGCTTGGCATAGACCATACCTGTGGTGTGGCACCATCCGGCGGTGCTGAGCCTCGAGGAGCTGTTGCTGGAGGAGGTATTGCTGGTGTAGGGCCTGAGGTAGGAAGGAGGGTCCGGCCACCTCTTGGAACGGTAGGCCAGGCAGAGGTGGCAGAGGCTGGTGCAGTGCTCCATTATGCTGGTGTGCGGTAGCCATATGTGATGTCATGCCCTGCTGCGGCTGGACCGGGTGATGGTGCAGGGGGAAGTCCGGGAGCTGTGGTTGAGGGCTCAGGTGAAAATGGCGGCAGGAGGTAGCGTGAGTATGCTGAGATCGCTGAAATGGGGCACCTGGAAAACAAAAGGCCAGACGGTGAATAATGGACCCACCCTTGCTTGGCTAGAGATATAACAGGACATTTTACACAGCAATATTTTTGTAATTTGAATATTTAGTCTGACTTCCAGAGTCTTGGCATTAGCAGTGGGAACATGACAAACTATGGGCTGTATTTATATATATATATAAAAAAAAAAATCACATAGCTAGTTTGAAACCACGGACCCTCCAAGCGATCGATTTAGGGAGCTCTTCATCGATTTCAGTGCTAGCAAGTCAGTTGGACGTGGCGGAAATTCTATTGATCGGTTCCAGTCAATCGAATGTATATCTGCATCAGTGTAAGACCACCATTCATAATACTGATCGATTAAATCCATCCAAACTACGGGCTGTGGGCAACATGGTGTCCGCTACAAGATCTATTCTGGCCCACAGCCAGGGGCGGACTGACCATTTGGAAACTCGGGCACTGCCCGAGGGCCCGGGGTCAGTAGGGGGCCCCATGAGATGCCCCTGGTACCTTTTTCATAGGCTTTTTTGAGTTTGGGCAAGGACACAGGGGCCCCATGATCCCCTATTGCCCGGGGGCCCCATGAGTTGTCAGTCCGCCCCTGCCCACAGCTGATGCACATAGTATTCACCTCTCCTAGTTGGGGACACTGATGTAAGGGGGGGATTCTTGATGGTGACACTGATGTAAGGGGGGGACTCTGATGAGGAGGCTGATGTAAGGGGGATTCTGATGGTGACACTGATGTAAGGGGGGGACTCTGATGAGGAGGCTGATGTAAGGGGGATTCTGATGGTGACACTGATGTAAGATGGGGCTCTGATGAGGGTGCTGATGTAAGGAGGACTCTGATGGAGACCCTGATGTGGGGGGGGGGGGGCTCTGATGGGGAAACTGATGTAAGGGGGAGCTTTGTTGAGAATACTGATGTAAGGAGGACTCTGATGGAGACCCTGATGTGAGAGGGGGGGGGCTCTGATGGGGAAAGTGATGTAAGGGGGACTCTGATGGAGACCCTGATGTGGGGGGGTGCTCTGATGGAGAAACTGATGTAAGGGGGAGTTCTGTTGAGAATATAAGGAGGCCTCTGATGGGAACATTGATGTAAGAGGGGGGCTCTGATGGGGACACTGATGTAAGGCGGGCTCTTTTTAGGATACGGATGTAAGGGGGACTCTCATGGGAACACTGATGTAAGGGGGGACCCTGTTTTAGGATACTAATGTAACGGGGGCTCTGGTGGGGATTTCGACGTAAGAGGGAACTTTGCTGGAACACTGATGTAAGGGAGGACTCTGATGGGGACAGTGATGTGAGGGGAGCTCTGAAGAAGACTCTGATCTAAGGGGGGACTCTTAAAGCAAAAACTGATATAAGGGAGGCTCTGATGGGGACATTGATGTAAGGGGGGTTCTGGTGGGGATTCTGACGTAAGAGGGATCACTGCCGGAACACTAAGGTAAGGGGGGACTCTGATGGGGACACTGATGTAAGGGGAGCTCTAAAGAGGACTCTGATGTATGGGGGGGACTTTTATGCAAATACACATATAAGGGGGGCTCTGGTGGAGACATTGATGTACGGCTTAGCTCCTAGCTGTCCCTGATTTGGTACAAAGTCCCTCTTCCATCCTCATTTGTCCCTAATTATGGTCTGATCTGTGTATATAAAATGCCACAAGCAGTGTTTTCCAGTGTGAAACTTTCCATCCATATTCTAAATTGCTGCATCTGTAAATGTCATAAACCAGTATAAAGGAATAGTAGTGGTTAAAAAAAGCATGCGTGGGCTTAAATAATCTTTGTTAAAAATAATTCTCCTTTAAGGGGGCGTGGCAGGGGGTGTGTCCTATGCCTACATACTTTTACTAATAGATGTTCCCATCTCAAAAAGTTGGAAGCTATGGTAAGGAGAGACTCTGATGGGGACACTGATGTAAAGGGGGGGGGGGGGGGGCATCTATGATTGGGACACTGATGTAAGGGGTATTTTGATGTGGGGGGGGGCTCTGATGAGAATACTGATGTAAGGAGGGGCTAGTTATGTTGGGACACTGATGTAAGGGGTATTCTGATGTGTGTGGGGGGGGGGGGGGGGCTCTGATGAGGATATTAATGTAAGGGGGCTATGATAGGGAGTCTGCTGTAAGGAGGGCTCTGATGGGGACTCTGATGTAAACAGGGACTGTGATAGGATGCTAATGTAAGTGGGGACTCTGATGGGTACACTGCTGTAAGGGGTTTTGTGATGTAGGGAGGGGGGCACTGATGGGGACACTGATGTAAGGGGAGGACTTTGATGGGGACACTGATATAGGTGGAGGACTCTGATGGGGACACTAATGTAAGGGGAGGACTCTGATGGGCACATTGATGTAAGGGGAGAACTCTGATGGGAACACTGATGCAAGGGGAGGATTCTGATGGGGACTCTGATGTAAGGAGAGGAGTCTGAAGGGGACACTGATGTAAGGGACGAACTCTGATGGGGACACTGACGTAAGGGGAGGACTCTGATGGGGACACTGATGTAAGGGGAGAACTCTGATGGGGACACTGATGTAAGGGGAGGACTCTGATGGGGACATTGATGTAAGGGGAGGACTCTGATGGGGACACTGATAAAAGGGGAGGACTCTGATGGGGACACTGATGTAAGGGGAGGACTCTGATGGGGACATTGATGTAAGGGGAGAACTCTGATGAGGACACTGATGTAAGGGGAGGACTCTGACGGGGACATTGATGTAAGGGGAGAACTCTGATGAGGACACTGATGTAAGGGGAGGACTCTGATGGGGACACTGATGTAAGGGGAGGACTCTGATGGGGAAATTGATGTAAGTCTAATGTTAGGGGAACTCTAATGGGGACTTTGATGCAAGTAGGGGCTCTGATATGGACTCTGATATATGTGGGGACTCTGATGAGAAAGGTGCAGGCTGACTGTACTTTTGTTTGACCTTTATTTCACATAATAGGTTTATGTTCTTTCTCTGTTGTTCCGGATCATATCATGCTGATTGAAAAAAAAAAAAAGAAAAAGAAAATGTGTTAATTTCGATGTTATTCCCTCATTTAAAAAAAAGGTTTCTTTTTCCCCGGGGATGATCTGTAAAATGCAGGATGTGGCCCTCGTCTGGCGAGGTTTGGAGATCCCGGGACCCGAGGATCACTCCTTGGCACATTGTACTTGCAGCGAATACCACGTGTGTTCAGTAATGTACTCAATGATGAATCTCTTGTATGCGATCGCTCATACCGAGACCGATCACAGATCCATACATGTATGCCCGGGAATGAAAATGACTCCTTTCCCCGCTATCTGCCGCCCCCCCCACCCCCCACCTTCTCGCCGACAGTTGATTTAGCCTGCCATGAGAAGGACCCTTGTGAATGGAGGAGACGACACAGAAAGTCACAGAGGAGCTCAGCACCTGCTGCGAGGCCCGGCAGCTGATGTAAGACAAATCTCGCAGCAACTGCGCTGTCACAATGATTTGGCTCCATTTATAAAGGGCAACTCGGCTCAGCGACGACTGTTAAAGGGGCAGCGACTCCCCCCAGACCAGAAGCCCCCATCCCTGCCAGTACTTTCCAGGGGGGGGGGACGCACCCAGGAGCAATTTATCAACGAGCACGAGTCACTATGGGTGGGCTTACAAGTCGCACATGGATGAATCTATTCCTCTACCAAAGATTTGATTTCCTTGCTCCATTTGATAGGAAATCTGTACCGGGAGGAACGTGCAAAATGTCATGCAACGCTGCACCCAAATTACATTTATTTTCAGCCACAAACAGAGCTTTCTTTCAGTAGTATTTGATCACCTGTGCCTGTTTTATTTTTTTTGCGCTATAAAACAAAAAAAGACTGACAATTTTGAGAAAAAAAACTATATTTTTGACTTTTTGTTATAAAAAATATCCAATAAATTGACTAACATGGGATTTCACATGTCATGCAACTTGGGGGCTCACAAGTCGGATCCCAAGTGTGCAGCAGTGTGAACTGAGCCTTAGGCTTCACACCTATGCAGGTTGTGTTTGAGCCGTTTCTGCATTGCGTTTTGCGTCTTGTGACGTCTATCGGTGTCCAGCAGAGCACTGGTTAAAGCTTGTTGGAGGAGTTTTCATTTTCCTTTGACTGTCCTATGAGGCTGCATAACCCCTGACCCTCTGCCTGGACAGTGCTGACTGGCACTCTCTCAGAGAAAGCAAAATTCTCTAGCAATACACACTAAACTGAGCATGTGCAAAGTGACTCCTAGAGCTCTGTACTATCAGCAGATAGATTGGGGACAGTAAAAGAAAAGGAGGATCAGAGAACACAAGATCATACAGCCTTTTTATACAATGCAGAGGATTAACCCCTTAGGCCCCACAGTGAGTATAACAAGCATGCTTTACTGCATATACAGACTGATTTTACTGTCGTGGGTACAGTAACTCTTAGTATTTTTTCCTGGAAATGCGCATTTGATAAGCGGCTGCACAGATATCGCGTGACATGAAAAAAATTGCAATAGCCTCCATTTTATTCTCCAGGGCCTCTGCTTTCAGAAAATATATAATATTTGGGGGGGGTTAAGTCATTTCTAACAAACAATGCAGATTTTAACGTGTGCAAAAAATTAAAACTGGTGTCGGTAGGCAAGCGGTTAATGTTCTCTTGCTACCAGCAGGGGCAGACTGACCATTCGGAAAGTCAGGTACTGCCCAAGGGCCCGGGGTTAGTAAGGGGTCCCATGAGATGCCCCTGGTACCTTTCATAGGCTTTTTTGGGTGTGGTTTGAGTTTGGGCAAACACACAGGGGCCCCATGATCCCCTATTGCTCGGGGGCCCCATGAGTTGTCAGTCCGCCCCTGGCTACCAGTCATTATTGCCCAATGCTTTTTATCAGATGACAAGTAAATTTATAGGTAAATCGCTGGCTGAGCTCTAGGGGTAGCCGCTGGAGCAGAATACTGTGCATTAAGCAGGCTGTATTAAATCCCTC